GGAAGTGAGGGGGTCAGATGCGCGGGAATGGTGAAAGGGGAGCTTAACGAGGGGCCGGGGATTCGTAACCCTGGGAGAGGATGGATGGCACGGTGGGGAGACTTCATCAAAAGAGCAGGCATCATTTTTGTTTGCTATCTTTCTGAAGAGCTAGCTAGGCACTCTTTGATCAGAGTTTCCACCGACATTGATTCCTTGGGTTTGCACCAAGGTATCTATCAATAACCCTCCCGTCCACGTCCGAGTGCGAAAGCTGCTTGTCTATCTCACCGTCACCATAATCATCGTTCCTGGAGTCCGAGTCCTGCCTTATTTGTGAATCTGAACAACCATCTCGAGAAACGACAGAAACGTCAGCTCGCCGGACATACTTGGCAAAGCTGCTTGAAGACTAGGTCCCGAGGGAATCGACAGCGCCTCACTTGATCAAGGACGCACGCAAGAAAGGTGCGGTTTCCGGGAGCCAATCGCCCGCGAGGAAAAGCCGTTGGAGCAGGGCCCTTGGCAAGAAAAGACCAGAGAGACAGACCCGCGGATCCTTCGACATTTCTTTGCGCGGCGCAGCCTTGGCGCGTGGCTTGCTGCAGCTGGCGTGGTAGATCCCAGTCGGGAGAGAAAGAGACCCCGGTCACCAAACACCAACACCCAACGGGGCGTCTCCAGCTGGACGTCTCGCAGAGCGCCGCGCCGTCAGCAACACCACACAGAGAAACCTGAACCCATTTTCCGACCTAACCAACAAAAGCGAAGCCGCCCCGTGAGACCGACTGCTCCTTGAGCTCGAAGGTCCCAACGTGCCTTACCCTGGTCGGCTTTTTCTTAGTGCCTGTCGTTCCCCCTCCATCCCCTGTCTGCCCAATTCCATCCTGCTCACTGCCGTCTTACACCAACCGGGGGTTGCTATTCTGCTTTCCTACCTAATCACATCCTCCACCCCCCGTAGCCTGCTTCCTTCCTCCCAAATTTCTTCCCTCTCGATTATTTTGCTTCTACTCTCACTGTTCGAAGGCTTTTTGGTACGACAACCCGAATTTGGATTTCGACAGACGGTTTTGGGTAGTGGACTGGCATACGGGTGTGGAACCACCGACTTACACGAGCATCACCGACATCGAATCTTGACCGAAAACTCGACTCGAGAGACGACTACGTAAAAACCCTTAATTCGGAACTTCTGGGCTGGGAGTCTGCGAGGAATACAATCATGTCCCTCCCGTCGGGCTTATTCGATAATGAAGACGAAGACAGCAACACCCTGTCTCTAGGGGAGAAGGGGAATACACCGTTCTACGAAACGACAACGAGGCCTGAACGGGACGAGGGCACCGGTGTCAAGAGCCCAACCATCGCGGTTGATACAGGTACACTGGGATCGGTCGACAGGGTGATCATGGCTTGGGACAACCCCCATGACGTGAAGTGGAATATTGACAGCAACTACGTCACGGTCGTCAACGCAACATGGCAGGGCCGCCAGGGTGACGATAAAGGTCCTGTCGGAACGATCAAATTTGTCCAAAACCCAAATGTATCGTCCGGTATGCCACGCGTAGGCTTGTTTGCCTCGTCGCGTGACGTCTACGCCAAGCGCGAATCCCCAGAATGTAAGCAACATTCAAATGCCGAGATTGCATGTTGTTTGACTGATCTGAGCTGTGCTAACCCTTGCGCGTGGTAGTCGAGTTTTTGACAGCCGGAGGAGGACTTACACTGCCGGTGAATGACACGGCAGTTTCTGCCTACCTGAAGAAAGAGATGTATCTCGTTCTCGGATGGTCCAGAAACGATGGCACCGGCACTGGATATACCCAGAGCGGTGTTTTCACAGTGTACAATGGCTCAAAGATTGATCAGGGGTATGCGGAGACTAAGGAAAACATCTTGTCCAAGATTACCAGCGACGCAGAATCTGCCGGCCAGGATATTGACAGTGGTTCTGAATGGGCTCCGAGGACAACCACCGGGGTGAGCTCTTCGATTACGTCGACTTCCACCGCAACATCCGCTCCCTCATCGACGACCTCTCCAGGCGCAGGCTCATCAAACTCTAGCTCCAGTTCCGGGGGCGGTGGTGGTCTCTCCGCCGGTGCCATAGCCGGCATCGTAATCGGCTCAATTCTCGGCGTCGCTCTGATTGCGTTCCTGCTCTGGTTCCTCCTGCGTCGCCGCCGCCGCGGCGCAAACAATGTTCACAATGGAGGATACGGCTCCGACCCCCACGAGTTCCTCGCCGACAAGGAGAATCACGCCCGCGTCACCGAATCCCCTCATTCCCCGTACTCAGACGACGGTCATCAGCAACAAGAAATGCAGCAATCGCAGCGCCACCTCACCGAGCCCGAGCATGACGCGACAGTACCAGCAGCCGCCGCAGCAGCAGTTCCCCCTGCCTCCGGCACAAGCCCGACAGAGCGCCGTTCGTTTGCGCCGCCGTACAGCGAGGAGGAGCACACGCCAATCGCCTCACGCTCACTCGAAAACGTCAACCGCGACGGAGCTAGATCGTCCACTCCCAACGTCAACTCCAACGTCTCACATCTCATCGAAGACGGCATGACAGAAGATGAGATCAGGCGGTTGGAAGAGGAAGAGCGAGCGCTGGACGCGGCGATTGAGCAAGCTGGCCAGAGCGGCGGTCAGGGGCAGCGCCGGTAGTCGTGGTAGGGCCCTCGTAAATCTAGATCGCAGACACCCAAAAGTGCGGTTTTTCTTGTTGCATAATATTTGACACGAATATCTTGTAGTGTGGCTATTTACCTGTTGATCTTTTCCTTCTTGATGGGCGTTTTTGCGATTCAGCCACTGTTAATCTACATTAAACCATTCGTTTTCGTCTAAGGGCACGCGGGCTAAGCATTTGCCCAAGAGGGTGCCGATACCCAGGCCGCGGTCGGAAGTTGACCTGTCGTCGTCGTGGTCGCGTATGAGAGGATGATCTGAGGTGTGTGGAGTGGGGGGGATAAGTAGATAAAAAGGGTTCCCGCCGCAGATTAAAGATGCTTGAAGTGTTTGCCAGGCCGTTTACCGTTGTGTGATTGCAGTATTATTTGTAGTTGAGCCTGCAATTGAGTTTTTCACCACGTGGTTTCACTTTGTTCACTGAGACAGACCCCTAATGACCAGCACAAGAATATCTGCCACTTGCCAAAAATAAGTCGTTCAAAAACCCGGGTCATGCTTACATGTCTAGTGTACAGTTGGGTATAGCATATCGAAAGTTGTCTGCTCCCACCAGCCTCACGCCGAAGGCGACGGAGCCCTTCTCTCCCTTTTGCGGCCTTCAAGGACCAGCAACGTTCCTCCGTTGATCGGATCCTTCTTGACGTGGTACGCTCTCTCCTGGCGTGCTCCAAAGCCCAACGCAGTCGTCTCAAGGGCACGCCCACTTAACTTCGGCTGAACAGCCGGCCCACCATATTGGATGCAATGCTCCCAGCCAGACCACCAGAGTACAGGGCGCTTCCAGCAATGTTAGAAGCGTGGCTGAACTTGTCGCAACGGGAGAAGGCCATGGCGTTCATGATGGTCAGGACGAGAGCGATGACTGTAATACAGAGAAGTAAGCAAATCAGGGTCTGCGAAGCCTCTCCTTGGACTCAAAATCTGGGAGAGGAGCTGAGGTCAAGGGGTCTGCAGGTAGAACTTACCAACCAGCGGCAACCACAAGAACTGCAGTCTGACCAGCGCAAATATGGCGAGAAGAACCCAGAGTAGCGGCTGTACATAGAGAGCGAGCCAGAAGAAGCGGCTGTCGGTGGGGTTGACGGTCTTCGTTCCTGGCTCGCTGCTCTCGAACACCCATTGCGAGTCGCCCGTTTGGGGATCCACCTCATTCCACCAGCGCAGTCCTACGAGTCTACGACCAGCAATGTTCTTGAGATAATAGAAGTCGGCGGCGAGGAGGAGAATAGTAATGATGAAGATCATGATCCTATGGTGAGACTGTGAGCAATTGTTCAAAGTGCCGTATGCAACGTCAGGCAGGATCGATGCGTGAGAAAGTAAACGGGTCGATTCTCCAACACCATAGCCATTCGGTCATGACCGGATGCAGGTTCGGACGTTCGCTTCGGGTGTTCGTTACAGGGAGAGAGAGGGCCATGCGACAACGTACATGCTCTTGATGATCCATAGTCCGAGGAAGTACACGAGGACGCTTGCTGTTACGAGCCATTGTCAGCTGGCCGATCTTTCCTAACAGAAGAACACGTTGAAACTGGACGAGACGTACATATGCGAAATGCAAGAAAGGTCAATAGGGTGATGGGATGCGAGCTCAACCGCCAGCTGAGGGAGCCGGGGGCCTCTTGTTGCGGCTGCTGCTGGTTCGACTCCATCGCGGGCGACTTTGTTTCGCGAGTACGAACTTCGATAACACGTTAGGCTGGTGGACTGAATTGAATGCGATCAAACTCTCGGTTTCGTTATCTTCGTGCGCATGTCGTGGCTTCGTGAGATTTCGTTGTTCTTGGTTCGGACGTAAGGGATTGGGAAGAGAGGGATGCCTGCTCCTCTGGAAACTAACACGGTACACACAGCTGTCGCGGGCGCATGCGTGGACAGCTACACTACTGCGTGTCCACCCCCAAAACCACGTTGAAGCTACGGTAAGCTGTTCGGTGCGTGGAGGCTGAGTTGTTCCGCAAGGGGTGACGTTGAGCTGCACGGGCCAATGAAGTGGCATCAGCTGCAAGGGTCCAAGGGCGGTCGAGTGCGGCAGAAACCGTGCCGACTCAGAAGCTCAACTCGCGACCAAATAGCCGACTTGGCTGGACCACTCGGCGTTCGAGTTACCGAGAGCTGTCTTTAAAGCAACTACGAACTGCCGGCTCAGAGGGGTAGTAAATGGTTACATAGGTATCTTCACTGTGTGTTGAATATTCTCATCGCCAGCTACACTTTACTTAATTTGGGAAGTCAGCCTTTGTTTTGTATTCACTATCAAGTTCCAAGCTCTTGCTTGTCCACTTAAGTCCAATACTACATCCACGGTACCCATCATGGCTGCCAGGTCCTCATCAATCATTCGGCGGGCGCTTCTCTACGGTTAATATACTCGCAACACTCATATCATCTGATAAACTGATGTTTTTCCAGTGCCTTCCTCATCGGAAAAGATGCTTACCAAGTCGTTGAGTCTCAAATCAGACAACGTAACATATGACCTGGAGGACTCCGTGACTCCCTCATTGAAAGCTCAGGCCAGGGGCCAACTCCGCTCGTTTCTCTCCAACCAGACAAGTCGACCGCCCTCCATATCCGAATTGGCCGTTCGAATCAATGCTGTGGAGACCAAGTTTGCGCTGGACGACCTTACTACTCTCGGATCTCTCCCCAATGTCGATGCCATCGTCGTCCCCAAGGTCAACTCCGCCGCCGACCTAACGTATGTAACCGATGTGCTGCGTCATGTCGCTCCCGAGAGACACACTGCCAGCTCGGAAAACCCTGTCAAAATTATCGCATTGATCGAATCTGCGCGCTCTGTCATGAACCTCGCCGAAATCTGCAAGGCATCTCCGTACCTCAGCGGATTGGTATTTGCCGCCGAAGACTTTGCTCTGGACCTTTCGCTTACCAGAACACCATCGCTTACCGAGTTTCTTTACGCAAGATCTGCTATCGTAACTGCTGCCAAGGCCGCTGATCTACCCAGTGCCATTGATCTTGTCTGTACTTCGTACAAGGGAGACGAAGGTTTGAAGAGGCTAGAAGAAGAGTCTCTGGGTGGAAAGTCAATGGGATTCAACGGAAAGCAATGTATACACCCTAACCAGGTCGAGCTGGTGCAAAAGATGTTTGCTCCCGGCGAAAAGGAGGTAGAATGGGCAGTTCGTATTGCCATCGCCGACGAGAAAGCCAATGCCGCAGGTCGCGGGGCTTGGACTCTAGACGGTATGATGATCGATGCGCCGGTGACGGGGAAGGCAAAGGCTATCATTGCAAAAGCAGAAAAGTGCGACCTTGATGTGGCTCGTCTGCGATCCAAATGGAAGGATCAACAGCCTGAGTAGGCCGAGCTAGCTCGAGGTCTAGAATAAGTTTGGCGGCCACAGCTCGCGCCCTTCTGCTAGCTCATCGTCTTGGTCCGCATCGTTTAGCTGTGTTCTGCTTGAGAGAAAGTCAATTTCGAAGCTTTTGTTGTAGCCGGCCACTGGCAATCGTTGTGTTCTCTTGAGGTTGTTGTTTGCAGAGTCTGTAATGTGCCAGCTCGAGTGTTCCGGCTGCCCTTCGGAGACCGCAAGTTCGTCGGGAAGAGGGCTTTCGGTGTAAGGTGTCTTCGAGTACCTTATATCAAGACGTCTACCATTCAATGCACTTCCGTGGTACGAATTCGTCACGCCTTCTTCAGACCGGGTTCCGAATGCATCCTGCTCGGCGCGTGCAATGAAATCAGCCAAGCTCTCATGAGGCTGAGATAGCGGCGTATCGATACGTCGTGAATGGTCCTTGTAGCCCATTATTTGGTCATGGCGATGGCCTCGAAAACGTGATTCTTGCAGTAGAGGCAATGGTGGACGGAAAGCATCCTCTTCACCGCTGCCAAATTGAATACGCGGCTGAGCGCCCATGAACTCAGTATATTCGTCGTACAAGGCGGTTGAAGGGCCGGGGATATGGTCCCGATTCAATACTTCGTCGCATAGAGTGCTCGATTTACATGCCGTCTTGGATAGACTTGGCGCACCACTTATGACAGAGAGCGGCGTAGAGTGTTGAGCCTGTTGAGATCTAAGTGCCGCTTCTCTTGACTCTAAGTTCCGTGCAGGTCCGTCGATGGTCGAAGATAGTTTGCAGAGAGCCTCGCCTGCTCTTTCGGGGGCTGGAGCAACGGCCTCCATGCCGTTGCTATTCCCGCAAATGTCGTCGTCCGGAACAGAAACATATAACCGGGGCTGCTTTGCAGCCGATGATGTTTGAGTAGACATTGTTGTTGGCACGATGTTGACCGGCATTCGTTCAGAAGCATGATCAGCTGTCAGGCCCTGTTCGTTTCGTTGATCTGGGGGGAGCCTGTTTGACACTCCCTGTCCGTTCTGGTCAGCGTTGTCGGCTGCCGCGATTGGTGCAGGCAATTCCTGAGTATTGACGCTGCCTTTCACTGAACCAACTCCACCATCAAAAGCGTTGTTATGGCCATTAGAGGGCAACTCTGCAGGCTTGACCTCGAGCTGGTCGTTGGGCACGGGTGGAAGATCGGCCGCTGTCATAACGCCTTTGTCTTGGTATCGAATGATACCCCGTAATTGCACAGGGCTCGCTTGGTGTGAATCGCGACCCAGACGGGCAGACACACCTGTGCCCACGCAGTGTTGCTTTTGGCTTTTCGATTTCTCGGCTGGCACCGCATTCATCTCTCTCCCGCTCATCGATTTTACAGTGCCATTGAATACTCCTGTCTCCTGCAGGCCGTTCCGGATAGTTTCTGGAGTGCTACTGGCGTCCCTGCCATTACGAGCTTGGGACATCGATGGCTGTCTTTGCTCGCTCGTAGACCATGACACATAGCTGGTCGCCATGCTACTGGCTCGTGGTATCAATGCTGACAAGAATCCACTACTTTGCGGCTGCAGTCGGGCTTCGCCTGCTCGTAGTGCTAGACCTCTTTCGAACGTTTCCGTAGATGTTTGATCCGCCGTACGTCGCCTGTCCAAATGATCACTCTTTGGGTGCATGCCGAATCCTCTATGTGCAGGGCTGACAGGGGCTTCGATAGGTACGGCTGGTAGGAGTTCATTCGGCGGTGTTTCTTTGTGTCCAAAATACGCCACCATCTCGTCTACCTCCCGCCCTCGGCGTTGCTTTTCCTTAGCCCGGGATTTATTGTGCTGTGCTCGTGAGGATATTAGAGATATTGGATTTTCGACGGCAGTCATCGAGTTGTACGCCAGCTCTCCCACTACGACTGGTCAGAATGGGTCAAAAAAGCTATGTCTAGGAACGCACCTGGATTGGGGGTAGATATGCGGCCGTTCTGAAAAAGACCATGCGATACATCAGGTTGTAGCTAGACACCCGGTTAGCAAAGCTCGTTCAGTATAAGGAGATGGTTCTTACCGTCAGCCTATCCTGGAGTATCGCTTCAGAACGGAAATTGTCCATGACGTCTTTGCCCGATGACAGAACCTTCTTTTTCGGGGGGACTTCCGACTGCTCACATCTTTCCTTGCGTGACTTTTGCTGCCGCTGCCGCGATCTTTTGTTCGATTCGTACCGATCGTCCCTAGTTTTATGCCTCGCTCGCTTCTTGAAATCGGGCGAAGGACTGCCAAAGGACGGCAGATGTGCCTTTTTGGGCACCTGATCAACGTGTTGGTGCTGATATTGTTCTTGAGATGGCAATCTTGTCTCATGTTGTCTGTCACGCAGCGGGGACGCTCGGGTATGACTTCTTGATGCGTCCGCGATGAACGAGCCGTCTCGAGACCGAGACCGTTTGTGACCTTGCCTCAAGTTGTCGAGATCAATGTTGTGTGGTCGCCAACCTGGAGAATGTGCCACTATTGGCTTCTGTTGTTGATTTTGCGCATCGACGGCTCTGGGTGAAATTACGCCTCTGCGACTGATATTGGAAAGCCAATTCTCGATCATCCCAGAGCCCTGGTTTGCGTCACTGCCTGTGTCGTTTTTCGAGTCCCAACCGTCCCCGTTCCAACTGGAGTTGGAGTACAAAGAGCGCCTGTGTCGTACTTGACTACGTTGATGCGTCTGTTCGGTATAGTCGTGTCCCCGTGGTTCAAATCGGTCGTGGCGAAGGTGTTCCTCGTCTCCGCGATGCCTGCGATGGCTGCGGTGGTTTCTCTCGAAATGGTGTTTCATGGTATCGAACATGCATGCATGCACCAAGATAGCTGGAGCGACAGAAGTAGATGAAGAAAACGGAAAACAGACTAGATTGAGTAGCTGGCGATCCAGCCAGCCAGCCGAGCACAGTCGCTCGCCGGAATGTACAGCTGAGGAATCCCATCGCCTTTGATCATTCCCCATCGCGAGTAGGTGCCACGCAGCCAGCGAGACGCATGACTGTGTTTTGGCATCGGCAAGATGCTGAACAGAAATCGTACCTTCTGCAATTTTTGTCTTCTTGTGCTCAAACTCTGGCCCGTCTCGCTATCGACGCAGCTGCGAACGTACACAAAAACGATTGCATCGCGACCTTTCAGAGCGGGTGCTATTACCTTCCTTGAATGGTTACACAGAAATGATTGGCAGGTGGACACTGCGCGGGGGAGTTGCTCAGATACACGGACGGCACCCGAAAGTGAGTGAGGGAGGACCCCTAGCACGCCGTACACTGATGTGCCGCTGGCGCCAAAATTTTTGAGAGAGAGCGGGCACGAATACTGCATAGTAGTTTCCGCCAGTTCCCACCGCCGACGGGGTCCAGACATTTGAACATGGCGCTAAAACTGCTGTGCAGCGCTAAGATTCTTCTGAGCAAGAGCCTCCAACTCGGAAGGCAAGTCTAAACGAGCTCGATAGCAACCATTTTTAATGTTAGCGAAGTTCTTAAGACTGTTGGTCAATCTACTCTTACCATTGTCCCTTACGACCAAAGCAAAGCGTTGCGCTCCAAAAGCCTGTCTCGATTGCGTCAATTCTTCGCACGACATAATGCTCGTTCTTGGCTCCGCAAATTCGTCGCTCCCTCCAGGAACATAGGGCGTCTCCAGGCTGCCGAGCGTTTCGTCGACGCAACCTCGAAGACGCGGCTTCTGAGGACGCATCGCCGAAATTGCCGCGCAGAACCACAAGACTCACAGCGGTCCTAGCCGATATGACGCGTTACCAAAGGCCCTGATTCGAGAGGGCATCCATCGGGAGGTTCACTTGATATGTCGTCGAACACACCCAAGTTGCGGCTGTCTCAGAATGCCAAGACAAGCCCCGGTAGGGACGGAACACGTCTTGCGTCGAATACCCGGCCGATTTCTATTGATAGCATCGACTTGGCTTCGATATGGAGAACACCGGATTTGTCCCGCCGTGACAGATGCTTGACAGCTGACCACGCACCCGAATGCGGGTTGCTTGCCGTTGGCCGCGAACTGTTTCAAAGCCGTGCACGACAGCTAGTCGACATTGGCTGGCAAATCTGTCCATCTGTCTCTGTCACCAACTTCATTTCATGATGGCAGCTTGGTTGACAAGAACTACATGGCAATCACATGACTTGGGAAGAATGCGGGCGCGAGTACTCGTTCTGATATTATCTTATGAAGAACGTCTGCTAAGTACGCGTACGAGGATTTCAGTTGCAACATCTGGGCCTGCGGTATGGCTCAGCTCAGCTCAGCTCCGGTCGTGATCTCGAGATTCCAAACATTCGGTTCAAGCGACGGCTAAAGGCCATTGGCACTCGAGATCAGCCCAGCATACCTTTTGCAGGGTCGCATCGTCCGTGACGACGCACGTGGCTGCAGGAGCTACCCCAGGCAGACCATTTGCACGGGCAGTGATATCGAAGCACATTAGGACATGTGTCGCCAACCCAACGACGTTGCCCAAGCTCTTTGTTTTTGCAGACAAAACCTTGGCTGTGGATAAGGCAGCGGGCCCGTGAAGAAGGCGCAGCAGGTTTCATCTTCGTCCGGTCACGACTAATTAATTATAGATGGTCCCTGGGAGTTTCGAATGCCACTGGGATCTTGAAGGCAACGACCCCGTGCTCCTGCCTACCGCCAGCCCTGCAGCAAACAGGCGCAAGAGCTGCATCCATCCATCCATCCATTTGATGACCACCGAGGCGAGAGAGCCAAGAAATGGCGAGAGGAGAAATGACCAAGCGGTGTGATGTGAAGACGAAGTCGGAACATGGAGCCATTTCCAAACCTTGGTATTTCCCGGCTGGGATCGCGGCCAAGTGCATTAGGGTTCCTGCTGGTGGCATTCCAGAGACCCAAACCGCCCCTCCACATCCAGGCTGCCCTCCCCCTCCGTATCCATGGCTCGATTGGAGTTCCATAGGCTGTTGGTCCATGCCACAATATGACGGCGGCTATACACCACTCAT